GCACAGTAACTATTTTCTGCTTTTACAACTTCTTGTGTGAAATTTGAATTTTCTTTCATGCAGTTTCCTTCATCATCCATGTGATGTATCAAATCCTGTCGTCTGCAAAACCCTCTCAAGCACCCTGGACATTGCGTCATCAGATCCGTCACGTGGCGTCGCCACATATTTTCCGGTGACTGAAGCGGAACAGAATGACAAAACAAGTGCATGTCCAGTTCTATTTTCCGACAGTATGCCTTTCCGCAAACCATGCAAAAATGGAGTTTTCGACAAATTCCAGACCGGACGTGCGACATGTTTTGATTAGAACTTTCATCCATGTTTCTTAATCCGATACTAGGATATGCTCAATGATCTTTGGCAAAATGTTTCTAAAAAATAATAAAATAAAATAAATATTGACATGCCAAATTATTCTTTTTAGGAGAACTACAGTTCTGCAGCTAGGACCTCACTTAAAATACATAAAAACCTTGGTTTACAACCAAAATTCGGTTCGTAGGTCATTTTAGCTATAAATATTTATTAGAATTCAATTAGAATTAAAATTCTATTTCCATAACATATACATGTAATGTGAATTAAAAAATGCAAAATAAACAATACTAAATTAAAATCTGAGCTGCTCACAAAATTATAAAGAAAGAAGATTTCTACTGCGTGCTTTGGTGAAAGGATATTTAGAAAAAAAATTCTTCACATCTGCACATTTTGTTGTTTCTTTTTAATTTAGCATTTATAATTTTACCCCTATATATTCATACCCCCCGCTTGAAAAGCTGGATGGTATATAGTAATCAGTATGTACGTCCGTCTGTCTGTTAACTTACGCTTTGGGGTACCCATCTCTTTATTCTCTATTGAGAAGTTGAGGAAACGAACCATCAACTTCTCAATAGAGAATACCATCTCTTACCCCCAACTCCTCTCATACCACTGAATGAAATTTAATGAACCTTTCACAAAATCTTTATTACATATTGCCATTAATTATGCACCTCTATTTACATTTTGATCCGATAAATATTTTGGAATTACCACAGCAAAACATGGACACTGCCAAAACATTCATGCGCATGGGTTATCATTTAGTGAACTCATTGCTCACAGTACCTCTAGTTTTAAATATGCATGGAGAATGTTTTTCGATATAATAGATGGCTAGGAGAAGGATATGGAGATAACCAACAGTATTCAATATCAAAGTCCATAAAACAATACGAAGTAGGCGTAGAGCAAACACGAACCTCCGAAACATCAGAGGTGGGAGCAGGTGCCATGGAGGAGTGAGCATCCCCTGCTGACGGGTCACACCAACCGTGTGCTCCTTGTCATGATCGAGAAAAAAGTTATAACGGAAAAATCCGTCGTCAATTCTGTGTATAAATGATGGACTAACAATTATAAAAAAAACGTCAGTCACCATTTGTCTCAATGATAAATTGTATTCGCTGACAAGGTCATTGTATCGACAATAGAATTTATGTAAAGATGACTTTAAACGAGACTGTTGATAATCTTGTTTCATCAACTTACTTGTCAATACTAGTTTTAGAAATTGTTCATACGTAGAGCATGCTCTTGCGTATCGTATCAACTGAGATATCTCAGTATGCAGGTGATGAAGGTCTATTGCTGCATAAGTAAGGGAAGCTGGCGATAGAAAAGTTAAAGTCATCACGTTTATCATATAGCTTGGTTGTTAGATTAGCATTAACGTCTTTTCCAAGTAAAATATCCCAGCATGAAACAGATGTGTCACACTCTGTGGTATCTTTTATCTCAAGCTCTGACACCAGGATATATCGTATCGACGTCGATATATCCAGGCACGTAGCAACAGGGGGGCTGCCCCCCCCCCCCCCCACTTTATTTCCCAACATAACTTACATCATACGAAATGTCCCTTGAAAGGCTGATTGCTCCCCCCCCAACTTTATGTTATCTAAGAAAAACGTAGTATAAAAACTTGGTACTGAAAGAAGTTGGCCTCTCACCCCCCCCCCCCCCCAACCCCCCAACGAAATAGGATTTTCGACTTTTGCAACTTTTTTTTCTGTTTTTTTTTTACTTGCCAATTTTTTCAGGTAAGTAAAAAGAAATTTCTCTAGCTGCCCCCCCCCCTTTCAAAAACGATGCCTCGTGGCTCATATCTAAATGTCGAGTTGAAGGCCACAGCAAGTGTTTTCTTCTTTTCACGCATAAGATTTTGCACAAATTCTGCTTCATATGAACATAAAAATAGGTCTGCAAATAACGGAGCGCATGAAAATTCCAATAGATTGTTGGAATACCTGGTCTCCAAAAAACTACATAAATATTGTCAATCAGAAACTCAAGCATCTCTTTGATGTCAATTTCGGAGTACTTGTGTATACAATCAGAATGTATTTTAACAAAATAATTTTGCAAATGACCAATGAGCAGGTAAGTATATTTACGAGTTCCATTTTTATTTTTAAAAAAAGCAGCTGTCAGTGATATCAAAAAGCCAGGAGTATTTAATTTATCGTTAGCTGCAGATCTGTAGCGTTATGGTTTTATATATTTGTCTTTGACCATAACGCTACAGATCCCGTTGTGCAAAAAAGGTGCAATTTACGGCGCAATATTTTTTGCGCTCTTTTGGGGAGAATTTCTACACTTTCTAGCTTTGGTCAATCAACAACCTTTCACTCCCTATGTGCGCGTTATGGTCAAAGACAAATATATAAAACCATAACGCTACAGATCTGCAGCTAATTTATCGTGGGGAATGGTTGTGTATAAAGTTGAAAAGTCGCAAGTTTTTAAGCTAATTTATAGTAATTGAAATGTTTAATTATACGTTTCATAAGTGCTCTTTTTTGGAGGTGTCAAGTATGTTAAATTTCGGATCCATACATCGTGGGTTCAACTCCCACTGTAAGACGTAGAGACCGGTCTTTCGGATGCGACCGTATAAACCGAGGTCCCGTGTCGCAGTTGCTGGCACGAAAAAAGAGCCCTCATTGCTCAATGGCCCTGAAAGCCGAGCATAGATTACAAAAAATGCATGCAGCTCTCCACCGGCAAGTGATAAATATGCCTATTATACATATTTTAAAATTGATATATACGTGTTATGCAATAAACTCTTACCTTGTTTTCAATGAGTGCAGATACAAGCGACAGTTGACCAAACTCCAAAGCGACCTTCTGCAAAAATCACGTGGTATGGAATGCCGTTTTCGTCATAATTTTTTTGACTACAAATTAAATACAATAAAAGATATGTAGAGAGTGACAACCAAGATTTTAGTAATATTTGGTTAAAGGAAAAGGGTTTTAGCTCATTTCTAATTAAAAGAGGAAGGGTGTCATCATAATCTTGCAAATGTTGCGTTTAGTTGGCTTTGGATTCGTTCTATTAATTATGTAATTAGTCAAATTTTGAAACTGCGTTCGCATGAATGATGCTTACATGTACAAGTGAAATTGCAAGCTTTCAAGTTCTCCTTTTTTTACGAATTTTACTAAACCTGAAACAAAGAATATACTGATATATATTTTAAAAATTAAATGAAAGAAAAAAACAAGAGGGGGGGAGGGGGCTTTTTGGTTGGTGTTATTTACGGTTTAACTCATCCCTCATCCCCATGACAACCCCTTTTTTGATTTTACCTTGCTTGGTGATGTTTACATAGTGTTTTAAATAAACAAAATTATGCGCGGATCCAGCATTTTTTTTTTTTGTCGCCTCGGGGAAGGAGGACTGTAGTAAATTTGGGTAGGGGTGTAAACTGACAACTATAAAACATAAACTGATAGAAAAAGAGTAATATATTTGCCAGTGCCTCCAATCTTAAAGTAATAGGGGGATGGGGGATAACCAGTATCTAAAGGAAAGTTTACTTTAGCAGAATACTACCGAGTATACTCAAAAAAAAAGTGGCCGGGGGGGGGGGTCTCCGCATTCTACAGGCCCTGGAAAGAGGTGGGTTTTTATTTTTTCAAAATTGCCACACTAACTAAAAAAATTATTAAGCAAAAATATTAAACAACTTCTCTTGACGTGGAATAACTTTTTTCGTCTGTTTGTGTATGTGTGGTCGGGGGTCGGGGGGCTTTCTAACAGTTAATTCAGTTCATCTGATATTTTTTGTAATTCATCTGAACCATTTTTGCACGGGTCCGTGTGTTTCTTGGATTGGGGGTGGGGGTAAGGGGTAGGGAGGAGGTTAGTCCAAAGTAGGATTTTTTCGCTATTGTATGCATATAAATATTATTTACCTGTGCTCTGAAAATCCCCTGGTGGTCCGCACCCATCCACCCTTATAGATCCGGGCATGTTGACGAACTAGAGCTAAAAGAACAATTTCTATGTATAGTTTGGAGTACATCATCAAATATGATATTTAATATTTTTGTTTTGATGGCAACATGCATTTTTTGGACCCCAAATTCAAACTCTTTAGAGGAGCAGAGCGGTCCGAAAACCCTTGGCTAGCAAAGATGACAGATAAGAACATATTAACCTCCTCTCAGCAATTTCAACTTTGATGACAAAAATATACAAGTAAACATTTCGGTTAAACGAAATGTGGCATTCATTCTAATTTGAAAGCCAATTCCTTCTCTGTAGCATAAGTGGTTGGAGATACTCTATATTCCAGTCCACACATAGGAATATTTATGTCCCTTTATGGGGTCAACCAAAAAGGTTAAAAGGCAATGTAACGACATTTCTCCTCTTTATTGTACTAAACAATTGGACATGCTCCGATAAATCCACAGTGTTTAATTTCGATATATGGATAGCCCCATCTAGCGGCAATCAGTATACATGTACAAGAAATCTAATTAAGTTAGCACAGGTTTATAGGTACTATACATAGCTATTGCAATTAAGCAGCAACTGTAGCAGGGAAAAAATAAGCTTCTGTAAAAATTTGATGAACAAAGTCATCTTCTAAGTTCATGTACTGTACTAAAATACTGACAAAACACAATGAGCGATTTTTTAATGGTGATTTTAATTTGGATGATACTATTTATAGTATCTGTTCAAATGAACATAAATGGAACATCTTCAATACCTGAGATCAATTTCTTCTAATCATAAATCACTAATTGCACATCAATATTTGAAATATTTTGCTGAACAAGGTACATGTAATGTTCTGTCTGTTGAAGAACTGAAATCTAAAATAAATATTTTATTACATAGCCCTGATTTTTTTTCTATACCGACAAAAAATTCCAGACTGGGAATTATCAGGAATGGCTCCTCTCTCATTTGAAATTTCTTTTGTAATATTATTCAGGCTTAAATTTACATTTTGTACATGTAAATATTAACCATAACATTTCTCTTTGTATCTAAATTTTGAACTAAATTATCTAACATGTAATAAACAATTTTTAGCAAAGAACCTTTTCATAATTATACATATACATGTATTTCCATTTTCAAAAATCATTACAAAATTGATTATATAAAAAAATATTTTCATTAATGAAACAGCACTGTACATGTAAAAGTGTATTTTAATAAATAAAACCTTTACATGTGCATGCAGTTAAAAATTCTTTAAACATTCCATCAAATTGATAACAGAGAAGTTTCGTAACTTTTCTTGCCATTTTCATTATTCATCATCTTCATATTTTCAAGGTTCTTTTCCTGTTCATAAACCTTTTATGACAAAAGTCAAGGTTTCAAAATATTCAGGCTAAAAAGCTTACTTTTCAAGTATACAACTGGAAGTCCAAACAAATCAGAAAACAGCCTTTATTGAAGGTAAATTTTCTAAACAAATATGACTCATCTTAAAAATGGAAAGTGCCAATATTGTAGGAATTGTGACTAGTTACCTCAAATAAGATATCAGAGATTCATTTTTTGGAAGATTTTCCTCCTTGTAATCACAAAAGTTGTGCTATGGCTTAATTTGAGCCACTTGAAAAGATATACTTTATAAGTGGAAATTTTAGCGAGATGCAAATTTAGCGATTTCTACCTAAAATCTGGTATTTTATTTTTAGCAAGAATTAATTTTAGCGATTTAAAAATGCTAACTAAAGAAGCTATTACAAATAATACGCAATCAATTTTTAGCGATATTCAATTTTAGCGATGTCAACACCCTCGCTTATAATGCCAAAATTAAATCCTCCCTAAAAATTCCACTTATATGTATTCTCAATGGTTGGTTTATAATTTACCATTGCATTATGTGTGTAACCATAAACCCAACTTTTAAATATTGACTTTTGTCAAGGTTTGGGTAGAGGAACTTTAACACAAAACCTTGACAAAGAGAGATGTTTATTCATATACAACTGAGAGTTAAAAAAAAATACAATAAAATTCTCCATTCAATTTTAAAAAGATAAAACCTCAGATAAATACGACGCATCTTCATCTTAAAACAGTTTAATTAATAAAAGTTGATGCTGCCATTTTCAATAATTTTCTTCAGAAACTCTAGGAAGTCATGATGAAAAGAAATCTGCTGAGACAATCATATCACATGCACTAGTGTAATCTAACATGTCTTTGGAAAAGTTCCTGAAGCTTCTGAGAAGAGCCTGGTCCTTCTTTGTATTTCGTTTGTAACGTTTCCCTCGGATGAGTTTATCTGCTAAATAATGAAGCCAGAACACATTGGTCTGGGCATGAAAAGTCTTCCAGTCATTTCTGAATAAAAAGAAGGAATAATCAAAATGACCATTTTTGAGGACCCTCCCTGAAATTATTCCCATATTTTCCAGATTGGCATGAATCAAGTAATTAAAAATTTGAAGTAAATCAAGAATTAAATAAAAACATTGTATAAGTAGGGAAACTTTTTTCAAAAAATCGTACACTGACGCATACCAAATAACTTAATTTACTTTAACTTCAGACTATTTCACTTACTTGTTAAGCTCCCTCATTTTCCTGTAAATGTCAAATTGATAATCTCCTGTGCCTTCAAATAAGCTCTCATCTGTTGAGAGATCGGTGAAGATAGTGCACCCATCTAAATATAAAAATCCATGTACAAATAAAATGGGTACAAGATGAATGTTTGTTTGGTTTGCAAAAACAGTTTTTCCTTCTACTTTTTTTTCAATTTTTAAAAATTAAATATTTATAACCTTTCAATGCATTCAAGCCTCCTTATTTTTAAAAGCACATTTCATTTTAACCATATGTTTTAACCTGGAAGACCCAGAACAACTACAACACATACACATAGATATAGAATTTTCATGCAAAATTATTTCCTTTACACCACATCACACATATATGAAACTAGACAGACAGACACACAAAGGTAAACAGTATACCCCCTCTTTCGGAACAGGGGTATAATGAACGAAAACCACTGAATACAAGAAGCAGAGAAAAAGGTGCTTAAATATGAAAACCTCTTAATACATGTACAAATTTACAGTAACTTTGACACCTGTAAATCCCCTCACCTTTATCAAGCCTAGACAAGGTAAAATCTATTATGCTGACATGGACTCCATGTGATTCTACTTGGAATGTCTGTCCCAGCACAACATACTTGTGAACTTTGACCCCTGTTTTCTTGACCAATACATTTCCCCAGTGAAGATCTCTGTGTTCAAACTGAAGAGCTTCCTCGGCGACCGCCAGGGAAAACGTCACCTGTTCAAACACACTCCTCGCCTCAAAGATATTGTTGAACTAAAGAAGAAAATAATATTCATGACATCAGACGTATTCTAGACAAATACATGTACTGTATATGACTATTTTTGCCCCATGTTTTTTTTTTTTGCCTTTTGCACTTGCCAGCAATTTTGCCCCGTTTTAAATTTGTCCAGTCATGGTTCTGTTAAAGAAATTATATTATGTTCTCTGAATTCGCCCTGTTTTAAATTTGCCCAACTCTGAACAGAGCAGAAAGGGCGAAAATAAAATGGGAATGAAAATTCTGTGTATACAGTATCAAAAGTCTAAATGCAGGGGTTTAAAAGTTTCATTTGGTTTTATTAAAAAAGTTTAAAAAATATTTCTATGTACCTGAGCAGCCTCTAGGTCCTTCCCTCCATCAGCAAACTCAAACATAATAAATAGCTGATCTTCCTTAAACATATCTGTAATAAGAAACATACACTGAAACATAATAAATAGCTGATCTTCCTTAAACATATCTGTAATAAGAAACAAGAACTTATAATAACATTTTAAAAGTAATTTAAGGGACTCCAACCCTCAGCCAGGAAGGACAACTCTTTAATTTATAATTTAATTCAAAAAGTCTTTAAATGAAGCTCGAAAATTAAATATTTTCATGCAACAATTTTCATTATATGCCTCTCAATGTGCTTCAAGGTTCTATGCAAAGCTCCATAAATTACTTCTAATTTCATATCATGTTAATAAACATTGGTATCTAAAAATGCTTTTTCGGGATAAAAATTTCTACTTTTAATTAGACCTTTCTGAGAAGAGCGATGCGGCTACCTCAGATCAGAAGCTTAAGAACCATAACTATTGATTTTAATCTTATATATCACTTTAACATGTGTTTAATATCATTTTTTTTACCTGGATTATCATTTTCTGAACCCTTCTCTTCGTGAAATGTATTCCATTCACTTAAAAGCTTAGTTGGATATCTTCCTTTTACACATGAAACCCTGAAAAAAAAAAGTTATAAAACCCATGTTTAGACTTAGAGAGCTATAAGCAAAGAAGTGGAAAAGCTGTAGTGTCCTTACATTGTCCTTTATAATGTTGATTTACTTAATTTTTTTTTCAGAAACATAGACTGAACAAACATGTTCATTAACAATGATCGATTAGTGGATTTACATGTATGTAAAAAAAAAAATTACCTAATATATGAACAAGAGATGTTTGTAAAACACTTATGCCCCCCTCCCCCCAAATTGGAATTTTTCCAAGTCCAATGGGCAAAACTCTGTCAAAAATGGCACGATTGTACCCAAAATAGAATCTGACCTAGATATTCATCTGATAAATCTGTATACTAAATTTCGTCTCAGCATGTGCAACGGTTGTGAAGAAAATGAACGGAAACTGCAAATAACTCTGTCAAAAATGGTGTAATCATACCTAAAACAGAACTTGACCTAGATATTAATGTGATGTATCTGTATACAAAATTTCATTTCAGTATGTGCAACGGTTGCAAAGAAAATGAACGGAAACTGCAAATAATTGGAATTTTTCTAAGTCCAAGGGGCATAACTCTGTCAAAAATGGTGCAATCATATCTAAAACAGAACTTGACCTACATATTAATGTGATATATCTGTATACAAAATTTCATTTCAGTATGTGCAACGGTTGCAAAAAAAATGAACGGAAACTGCAAATAATTAGAATTTTTCTAAGTCCAAGGGGCATAACTCTGTGAAAAATAGCGCGATCGTACCCAAAACAGGACTTGTCTTAGATATTCATGTGATATATCTGTATACTAAATTTCATCTCAGTACATGTATGTGCAACAGTTGTGAAGAAAATGGACGGAAACTGCAAATAATTGGAATTTTTCTAAGTCCAAGGGGCATAACTCTGTCAAAAATGGCGCGAACGTACCCAAAGCAGAACTTGACCTAGATAATCATGTGATATATCTGTATACTAAATTTCATCTAAGAATGTGCAACGGTTGCAAAGAAAATGAACGGAAACTAAGTGGACCGACAGACAGAAGCAAAGCAATATGCCCTCCCTTCTTCGAACGGGGGCATAAAAAGCTTCAAAGACATATACATGTAATATATTGAGTAAAACATGTAAATTACCTTTGGACTTCACAGAAGTTCTGTGTGTAGCACATATCATTTTCTCTGAGCAAACTCAATTCTCTAGATAAAAAAAAAACCAGTCAAACATTTTACAATTACAAATATAACCTGATGATAACATGCGCTGTACCAGTATATACATCTTTATAGCACATCATTTTTGAAAATTTTTAAACATTTCAAGATAAGAATTGCTTGGGATTTTATTTAGGTCTAATTCAGACCCAAACTTTTTTTGAGCCATATTTTTTTCTTAATTTTCAGGATATTAAAACTGTTTAACTGGTCTGCAACTGCAAACAAAGAATGTTTTAAGCTTGGCCTTCTAAGATACCCAATACACTGTAATTAGATATAAAAAAGAGATAATACATACACAGAAATAACAATTTCTGGTAAAATCTCAGCAAATGATTTCTGTTTCTCATCATTGACCTCAAAATCCCCCTCCACTGGAATCACCTGTACAAAACAATTTCACATTTCATAATTGACCACAAAATTTTTGCTTTACTTAGATTTTAAATATGAATAGAATAGATTCGGTAACAACATAACTCAATCTCAAATTAAACAGTACGTGTATGCTTTTTCAAGAAGAGTCTGTAAATTTGAAAAAGTCATGACTATAATAAATATATACATGTTACTATATATATATAACACTGTATAATATCACTAGCTATAGATTTTGTATTGAACATGCTATGCTAACCTTTAGGGCTACAGAGTTATTTCCCCTTTTCGTCCGGAAAACCTCTCCATAAACGCCTTCCCCGACTTTTTTGCATTGTTTCATCATACTAAAATAGAAATTTCCTTGTTTTAGACAAAAGAATATCATGAAGATATGAAATATAAAATGGGTAACTGAATATGTGAAATACATGTAAGTGTACAATTCATTTTTTTCAAGACTAGAAATACATGTATAGATACAAAAATGCTTTTATCACTGAACAATTACTTATCACAAAATATTTTGGAGGGAGAAAGAGAAAAAAAAATTGATATTCCCTCATACTCACGTGCTACTTATACAGGATTGAAATGTTTCTACTCCCTTCTGTTGGCACACTTCCAAAACTTTGGAGCGCGGGGAGGTTGGAGTTAGACTCTTTTTCCTCTGTGGTGTCAAGATATCCTGGAAATACATTTAATTCGACTTGAGATATACAAGCAATATCCTCAAAATATGTTAAATTTGACAGGAATGCATTTTAAAAGATGAACAACCTATCAGTTCTGAGAACTGATGATTTTTCAAAAACTTTTCTACATAAACAATTGTATTCCACATCTTTCTTCCAACTTGTCCATACAATTTGATTTTTCTACTTTCAATGCAAAAATATAAAATGGAAACAAATCAATGTTCATGATGTTCAAACTAAACAAACTGACCATATTTCTGCTTTATAAAACTCACAAAGTGGGATCTGTTGAGCAGACTTTTGTTGATTGACACCTCAGGACCGCCCCCATCAATTGACATGTTAGGACACTTCTCACTGGTTGAAATATCAAAATCCTCTTCACTGATTGGCTGATCAGGACCTCCACTGGAAGATAGAGATGAGTGAGCTGTATAGAAGTTGTCTTCTTCAGAGCTGGCCAGCATGAACTTTGTTACGTTTCTTTCATCTTCCCCTTCTTCTTCCTGCTCCTCTTCTTCACTGTTTTCCGTACCTTCTTCATCATTATCTTCTTCACTTATCTTACTTAAATCCTCATCAGAATTCTCTTCTGTATCCTCTTCTTCTTCCGAATCATTGTCACTTTCATCGTTTTCTTCAGAATCTGAACCCTCTAAGTTTGATTCCGCAGTCACACACTTTAAAGAATTTTTCTCGTCAAAGCTGCTAAACAGACTATCTGAGTGATTAAAATTAGAGCGTTTGGAGGTTCGATGAGACACATGCATAGAGAGAAAACTCTGTCTTAATTTCTCCAGTTGTACCATACACGGATTCAGGGGACTTTCGTTCTTGGAATTCTTTAACAAAGATTTACTGATATTGCTGGAATCTGATATATTATTACACGAAGGCACTTTTGAAACACTTTCTTGAGCGTACGAGCTTTGGTCTATATGAACAGAGGGTGACAATGGCACATCTTCATCCACATGGTCAATCACTGACAAATTATTAATGTCGTTTGCTGAACATGTCCGCTTGGCACATGGGGTACTAGTTTCTATTTTACTTTTACTTCTTAAAAAATGCGGGGAAAATATTCCACCATTCTTGAGTTGACTGTTATTCTGAGGGGGAGACCCTGATATCACAAGACTATAGTCATCAAACTCGCTGAAGTTTGTCACAGAAGACAGGGAGTCCGACTTCAGATTGGCCTGCAGTTGCTCCGTTTTGGGAGCACGCTTTCGTTTGCCTCCGTATTTGGGTTTGTCCTCCCCAGGATCCTCCTTGTAGTTCCTGTCTTTTAGGGCTCTCCTTGGTCGGCATGACTGGAAGAGGCTGTCACTTCCTGTACTGGAGCAGCTATCCTGCAGGCAAAAGATGTTTCAAATCAAACCTCTGGAGAACAACTCATTACAAATTGAAAGCATCTATTAAAAGGGATATGTGCAAACGATGCCAACCTACAGATCTACTTAAAATGTTATACAAATAGCCTAATCCCACCCCCCCACCCAAAAAAATAATAATAACACAGTAATTGTAAATCACTTGTCATTCAATAAATTCAAATCATAAAAGAAAACCATCACTCATTAGAAATCATATAAGAAAAACAAGAGGCCCACGGGCCTTATAGGTCACCTGAGTATCATGTAACAACTTTCCAGCGATTGTATTTGGTTTGTGTTTTAATCCAAAAGCCACGAAACTCACAAATTTTGATGGAGGCACCATTGCTTATCAAAGGGCAGATTTGAAAGCATTAATTTATTTTTAGTCAAAGTACCCCCCTGGTACCCCTGACCCAGCAGCCCTGAAATTATCTATTTTGAAAGAGGCCCCTTTCTTCATTATAAGGCCAGCATTTTTTTTTTATGTTTAGGTTTAGTTATGAACATGAGAATAAAAAAGTCCCGAAGGAGAAGGAAATAAAAATTTTTTTTTGATAAATCAATTATTAACATTTGTACATTCTTTTTTATGCTATTCTAATAGGCTCCTTACCACTGGACACATAATGCTTACAAATAGGAAAGTAGAACATTTAATTGCTTATTTCATCATCTGCCAGTTTGGGCCAGTTATATAATTTTTGTGATGTTGGTCAAAATATATTTTAAAAAGTCAATTCTTTAAAAAACTTTCAATATATCTTCATTTTTTTAATATGTGTTAGGTGAATGTGTAGACATTGTTCTAAAATTTACTTGATGCCTAAAATTATAGCGAGCGCAGCTAGGCCGCGCAAAGCGCCGCTCACGTAGCGAGCTCAATAGACTAACGTGTACGAAAAGAAGAAATTCAGGTTGAAATCTGCACATTGTTCCAAGAAATTTTAATGAGTCCACGTGAAAAAATTCCAAATTCCCAATAATCCTTTGCGGTGCATAGCAACATGGTGGCTAAAATAGCAACAACTTACTTGAAAAAAAAATTACGAACAACGATTTAATGCAATCTCCATGTCATAAAACTATCGTTTGTGTTCGGGGTCCTAACTTTATATCTGACGTCATACTTTCGTCACTTTAACGGTTCGGGTATTCCCGATTTTGTCGGAAACTTCCGGGAAGTTTGGAATCTCGATCCCTATGCTTGGGAAGTGATTTCTTTTTATTGATTTGTTTTCTTCTTTTTTGCTTTCTTTTCCTTGAATGATAGGCAGTACACATGTAGGTTTATGATAGTACATAACTGCGCTCGCCCCAACGGTCACACCGTAAAACATATTAATTCCTATCATAAAACAGACAGGGAGTATTGGTGAGTAGGGTGAACATTTTTTCAATTAAGTGTAAAATAATTTTTCTGGCTGAAACAAATGATATTATTATACTTTCATGTTAAATACTAAAATCTGATTGGTTTAGACGCAGTTAACAATCCGTTCGATTACCCTGAGCCTTAGCAACACACGTGACAACGGGTAACACAACGGTAATGCCACATGCGTGGAAATTATGCGCGTACGGTTCACCGTAGAATTCTCAAAACGTCAGTTGCGCGTTTGAAAGAACCGGAATTAACTTGACGTCAATAAAAGCTTGCGTCCGATATAGCTTACTTGAAAACAACAAACGACAGACGATACATGCTTGCGAGTGTAGGAAACATGCTTGCGAGCCAGAAATAACGAAACTTTATATGATAAATGACTCTAATTCGAGTATCAAACAAACAATAAGGAGATTAGTGAACCGGTGAGTGTGAAAGCTTTCTATACATGAACGTAAAGACGATCGACGGTTTTTTTTTGCTGACGTCCTAAATCAATAAGACATTCAGTATAATAAAATAAATGGTGCCTGTTTTGGAGGGTAACATTTGAAATTGACACCCCTCGGAAAACAGGCCCCCAGCGGAAGCGTCGGTTGACAATGGTTTTCCTTGGGGTGTCAATTTCAAATGTTACCCTCCAAAACAGGCACCATTTATATACTACATGCCTGTATATATTTGTATATTCTTGCCTTTTAATAGTTGAATTTTTTTTTTCTTCAGGTTATTGTTTATTTCTTCCTCAAATGGACTTAACTTCTCCCATAGTTTTATTCATTACATCTGATGCATAAGCAACTCTTTTCTGAAGAATGATGCTTAGACTGTATTGTAAGCTATAACAGAGACCTAAACAATGTCGCTGGCAATATGCAATAGCTACCACGGGCAGTTTAAAACCTGGGGGAGGAAAATAATTTACAGAGAGATACTTTTGAAACGAATACGTAGTTACTCACCAGCATGTCATTGTGCAACAAAGTCGTCAGCATTTTATTTGTCCTTTGAACGGGTGCAACGTTTTGAATGGCACTCGTATCGATGAATTTTACACTAAACCAAGCTATCTTCTCAGATCTAGCTTTTTTACCCGCCGTTTCATCTTAAAACCGGAAGTGCGAGTTCGTAAATTTGAAATCTCGATCCCGACTCAAATTTGACATCAGAAAGAAAAAAATTGTTTTATTTTTTCTGAAAATTCAAAACCTTGAGCGGAGGGTTTGTAAAACTGATAATACAATAAATCCTGGCCTTAAATATTTAATTAGATCATTAGTATATTAACCAGGAGCAAAGGATAAGATCTTCAAAGAATTCATGCATTTCACTATATAATCATTAGAGCCCCACCCTAAAACAAGAACCCCTGACCCTGGGGCCATAAAATTCACAATTTTGGTAGAGGCACTTTTGCTCATCATAACTATGTACTTAGTTAGTTTATTTAATACCGAGGAGCAGAGAAGAAGATTTTCAAAGAATTCATGTATTTTCACTATATAATCAATAGAGCCCCACCCTAACACCAGAACCCCTGACCCTGGGGCCATAAAATTCACAATTTTGGTAGAGGCACTCTTGCTCATCATAACTATGTACTTAGTTGGTTTATTTAATACCCAGGAGCAGAGAAGAAGATTTTCAAAGAAATAATGCATTTTCACTACATACTTATTTAGCCCCGCCCTAGCACTAGAACCCCTGATCCCAGGGCCATGAATTTCACAATTTTGGTAGAGGACTCATTGCTGATTACAATCATGCAAACAGTTTGACTGCTTGATGTCCAGGAGTAAAGAAGAAGATTTTTAAAGATTGCATTAATTTTAGTGGTTTTGGCCCCACCCCTCAGGCCCCAGGGGGGCAGGGATCATGAAATTCACAATTTTTGTTCCCCTTCATCCATAGATCCTTTGTGCCAAATTTAGTTGAAATTGGTTCAGTGGTTGCAGAGAAGAAGCTGAAAATGTTCAAATGTTAACACACGACGACGGACGAAAACAGATAGCAATAAGGCACCTGAGTTTACTCAGGTGACATAAAAACCAGAAGTCTCTGTCGAGACTGAAGCTCTACTGGTTTGTACTTATAGCAAAGGAAGAGGAAATTTTCCTCTTCCTTTGCTATAAGTACAAACCAGTAGAGCTTCAGTCCTGGAAAGTACTTGAGCAGTTGGGAATTGAAACTTTACACTAGCAAAAAAAGAGAATAATGATCCTTGAATAAGTTTCTTTATGTTCTTAGTGTAGTCTACTTGCATGCCACATTATATTATAATCAGACTAAAACTGTATTTGAAGTAGCATTTTGAGAGTAACAGAAATTGCTATCTTTATTAACCAAGGTAATAATGTTCATTGAAGTCAAAAACGGATATAAAGAATTATGTACCTTAGTGTAGTCTACTTGTGTGCCAAGTTATATTGAAATCAGACCAAAACTGTAGGAGGATTAGCATTTTGAAAGAATTTCACAGAAATTTCTATTTTTAGTAACAACGCCTACACCATTCATCGAAATCAAAAACCGATACACAGAATTATGTATCTTAGTGTAGTCTACTTGTGTGCCAAGTTATATTGAAATCAGATCAAAACTGTAGGAGGAGTAGCATTTTGAAAGAATTTCATAGAAATTTCTATTTTTAGTAACAACGCTAACACCGTTCATCGAAATCAAAAACCGATACACAGAATTATGTATCTTAGTGTAGTCTACTTGTGTGCCAAGTTATATTGAAATCAGATCAAAACTGTAGGAGGAGTAGCATTTTGAAAGAATTTCATAGAAATTTCTATTTTTAGTTACAACGCCAAGACTATTCGTCGAAATCAAAAACCGATACACAGAATTATGTATCTTAGTGTAGTCTACTTGTGTGCCAAGTTATATTGAAATCAGACCAAAACTGTAGGAGAAGTAGCATTTTGAAAGAATTTCACAGAAATTTCTATTTTTAGTAACAACGCAACACCGTTCGTCGAAATCAAAATCCGATACACAGAATTATGTATCTTAGTGTAGTCTACTTATATGCCAAGTTATATTGAAATCAGATCAAAACTGTAGGAGGAGTAGCATTTTAAAAAATTGTTTACAGACAGACAGACAGACGGACGGACGCCGGATGCATTACTAACGCTTAAGCTCTTCTGGTCTCTGACCAGTAGAGCTAAAAAAGAAAATCCTCACTCTTTGTCACATGTTTGTTGGTACATGTACTTAAAACAGGTTCTTGACAGAATGCTGTACTCACCCCTTCGGATCCCAGCTTCTTCTGGAGCAGTCTCTTGTTAGTGACACGTCCACCATTCTCCTTGTTATATCCTCTCAAGGGTTTCTTTGTGCTGGAAACCAGAAAATCAAAGTTAAAATTTTTATTCAAACATGTCAAAGAAGTGTCTGGCATATACCATTTTATGTGTAGAATTTAATTTAAATTTAGCATAAAAAGAAAAATATACAAATGAATTATAAATTTTATGGACGCACTATGACATGCTTAATTTGAGAAAGTACTTGCAATTTTTTTTATTCCAATTTATCTTGATGATAGATTACAAACTTAAACAGGCTAACAAATTGTTGATTTATTTTTTTTTAATACATTTTTTTTAATCTTGTTAATTTTAAACACAAGCAATTATTGGAACTCTACATGATTAATGCACACACTATGATAGACACTCATTAGACAGATTCTTAGATAATGAATAATATAAGATAACCATGAAAAAACAAATTTTACAAGTGTTACTGTAAACAGTGTAAAACAGCATGAGAATTGAGCTTGCTGAGAAGAAACTAATGTACAGGCCTAGATGATAGGGCTGTGTATTGAACAAAAAATTTCGATACGATACAATATTTTTTAAAGCGATATGCGATATATTGGATTTTAAAACAAGTCCATCAAAAAAGGCTTATAAATCATTTAATGCATGAATTTCATAAAAATTAACTGTTTTACTACCCATTTCAAAGTTCTTGTCTCATTGACATTACAAATAACACTTCAAATTAAAAGTTTTAATGACTGCAAAATCAACCTGTTAAAATAAATTCGTATATGTAATTTGTAATAATTATAAAAACTGTGTTATTTCCTTAATGATTCTATAGTTGTTCATAAGTTTTAATTGTAAAAGGTGAAATATAATCTTTGGTGATTGAAATTCCTATCTTTTTAACAGAATTAGAAGAAAAACTGCTTGTCCGATACGTATTGGAAGTTATTCTTCGATACGATATGTTTCTTGAATATCGATACGTATTGATATATCGATATATTGATACAGCCCTACTTAGTTTAGATGAGCTCACTTTTGATCTTAAGCTCACTTTTCGATTATATTCCTTTGGTGAAAGTGAAACCGAGATCAAAAGTGAGTTCATTTAAGATTTATGGCCCCCAGGCCTGAAGTTACTAATAAAAGCACAAAATCATCTGCCAACCTTCTTGTTATGGGTCCACTAAACAAGCTGTCATTTGTCGTGTCCTGGTTTGAGAAATCCAGACTCGACCCATGAGAGCTGCTGCTGCTAAAAACACCAGCACCAAGATCTGTTTTTTTCTCATCGTCAGAACTCCAAATGTCTGCCGCTATGATCCTTTGTCTGTGTCTACCATAAGTCTTTATAGTGTTTCTCGTCGCTCGACTCATTTTGCCTGAAATTTATGGGGAAAAAAAATGAACTAAGTTTTGGTCTTGAACAAGGTCCAGGGTACAATTTACTCATTCTCGATTTGTCTTCCCTCAGTCTTTATTTTTATCATTAAATCTCAGTACTTACAGAGATTCAGAATGTGAGGCATTTTCTACAAAATAAACTGTATACTCTTTAAGTATGTGCTAAGCAACTGTTAAGATAGCATCTGCACCTGAACTATATTTAACTATGACCATGATAATGCATCCTTTTTTCACTAAGGAAGAGTTTCTTAAAGCTCTTAGTGCACTCTTTTGTAAAAAAGTTGCAAAATGTACAAATCTAGCAGGATTTCTGGGACAAACGTAACATAAACTTATAAATAATAGAGAGGTTTAGCAAGCTCACTTGTATGTGTACATGTACGTGTAAACTACAAGTTAGAATTACACGTACACGTTAACATTTTTTTCTTGTTTAGCAAAGTATAACCTGTACTTGTACTTGTAAGTTTTTAAATATAAAAGTGGTTTACATTTAAAAATCATCCGCAAAAGCAATAATTTTAATACGTATAACACCATTCTACATAAATATATGCCTGTAATTATGAGATAAAGATTGTACAGATTTCTTATATTTTTAATCGGTCGAAGTCTTTTTCGGAAATCAAGATGTTGTAATTTTAACTCCCTATAAATTAATATTTTTCAATTACTGACATTCAGTTCTTATATCAGTATTTGCATTATATATTCAGGTTTCAGAAAAACGCACACTTTTTGAAAAATAAACAGCAGTTAAAGAATTATACGCTACAAGTTTTAACTTACGTGTACTTGGCTATGTTCACGTAATTTGCGTAAGAAGATACGTGTAGAAATTTGTCATTAGCAAAAGTGATGACGTAATGCACAGATTTCTGGTGCTACACGTACACGTACGCGTACACGTTGGTTTGCTAAACCTCTCTAATATGGTGGATGTTGGTGAACAAATCGGAAATAATCCTAACAAAAGTCAAATTAATCATTTGATTGTTCTGGACTTTATATGCTTCAAGAGTAGAAACGACAATATTAATTTTTATCTATTGTTTATCGTATGTATCTATCATACAATGCACATGTCGTATTTTTATCAACGGGTGATGCATTACCAGGGTAAATAGGGTTCTCGCTCTCCAATCTAATTAAAACAGATGTTAGGTCTGCTAGCATACTCGCTACACTAACATCTAACAACATCCCAAAGAGGGTCACGTCAGAGGTTCAATTCTATCATTCAATCAAATCGTCACTGCAAAATCATCGTATATTTGTTGAAGGGAATAAGTCTAGAGTTGTTTAGAATTTGACATCTGACGTGACCCTTTATGGGATGTTGTTAGATGTTACATTGTAGTGTAGCGAGAATGCGAGCGTATGTAACATTTATTTTTAATTAGAGTTTAGACTGCTTGCTCTCTTACATGTATATGTCTATTAGTTTATATTTTCTTTAATCGGAATGACAAATATGTATAACTTTTAAAATTGGATTGAGATTTGTATGTTTTGTCCGCCATGCGGTCCCAGTTAGTTCCATAATGGAAATATAACGTATTGATAAAGCATGCATGAGTTCAAATGATCTTGGCATTTCAAATTTTTTAACACTGAAAATAGTTGCCTACAGGGAGCAGTGGTTAGAGCATCTGCTCTAGAGTAACAGAATAAGGAGCTGACACATTAAAATTTAAAAATAAAAAAGTGAAAAAAATGGGCAGGTTGGGACCACTCGCCAAAATGGGATATAATTTTATAGCGAGCGCAGCGAGCGTCGCAAAGCAACGCTCGTAACTGCGAGCTCTAACGACAACGCCTGGGCGAAGAGAAAATTCGGACTACCGCACATTCATTCTTTAAAATTTTTTGCTGCAGTAATTTTGACCCACAATGCATCACTTAGCAAAGCTGCGTTCTTGTGAGAATGACAACAAATGTTCAACAAAAAGTTTACGCGCATTGATTAAATGGATACATATTGAAGATAAATAGTAAACGTAATTTTTTTCATTAACTTTCAGCACTGTTCAGTTTTTTCTTGGTATTTGTAACTTACATACGACGTCATCACTCTCTACCATCGGCTCATACATTGCGTTTGTTTTAATTCATTATAGTTCAATTTCTATGCTTATGTCTTAGTTTTGAGATAGATATTTACTAAATCAATCCAGAACTATTAATTTATGTTGAAACAATCCTGCAAATATCACGTTTTATACGTTATGTCAAAAATCTTGACGTGAGCCCATTGCAGAGGTGTCTGAGAAAGGAACGAACGACAACTCTGCATGGGAGATTGACAACGTCATGTGACGTCAGAGTCTAGACGCACCAACTGTCACGTGCGGTTTGACGAGCTCGATCTAAATTTTAAAAAACAATAGAAGAGTTTGCGCTCGCTCTAGCGGTCGCACCGTCAACATATTAGTCTAAAACTTTTTTTTAAAATTTTGGCTATCAATATCTGAGGAAAATGTTTGAAGATATGCCATAATGGGCAGTTTCGTATTCGTATGTCACAACACCAAGAAATTACATAAAACTGTATTAATGCATTATTTATCTCTTTTGATAACCTTCAAACTTACAAGGAACAAGATCCAAAAATGTAAAACTTTCAAAACTGCTTCGACTATTCTGTCAACCTTTCTAAATCGAAGCATGTCACTCCTTCGGCCTCCAATCTTTTTAAAGCGCACTTAAATGCATGATAATGAAAATGTCTTTAACATGCCAAATTCACATTTGTACTTCTTACAAATCATTTAAAAAGATTTCTAAAAATCTAGAAAGTAAACACGCATAATGTTTTCATTTTTGATCCTTTGAAATCGAAAATGGCGGCGCTGTTTGTTACAGGCTTGCTGATTGGTTGAAAATTATCAGGTAAAATTAGAATATGATGGCGCACTGCGTATTTCCGTAAAAGTCAGGCCCTCGTGACCCTTTTGAGGTGTTAAAATGTTTTGCCATTTACTTAACAGTTGTGTTTCAGACGGACTTGAGATGAAAAAATGATGCCTTAATACGTAGAATATTTCATAATTAACATCACGGAAAAAAACATTATGTACAGAATTGGTTTTGTATTTAGAGATTAATTGAGTAAATTACATAAATCTGTGGGTTTATGCCTTCTAAGGTCTCTTTAGACATTTTGTGTGCAAAAGTTTAGCAGAAAAAAGTTTAAGGTAAGTTTACAAAATGTTGTTAAGTCTATCAAAACATAGATAGTATTTCACATTGTATTTTTTCATTCGTTGATGAGAGTTGTCTTTTCCTTAATTGTGATTTTGATGGTGGATCCAGGATTATTGGAGTCAAACGCGGACCCAGGGCCGGACGCCCCCCCCCCCTCCCCCCCCCCCGGGTTGAATAATTAAAAAAAACTTTTTGTGCTAAAATCAAGTGAAAAACACTTCTTACTGGAGAATTATTTATCAGTTGTAATAGGGACCTATATACTATAAATTAGTAAAATGAATTGTTTCTCGAGGAGATCGACTATGTAAGTATAGATCGATGTACTTCTAACGTATAGATAAAACTCATATTTTGATAACATGTAAAAAAAAAAAAAGAAATTAGCCCCCCCCCCCGATATACTACGAACCTGAAAATAATGGGGTTTATTTTGTCCTGGGAATATAAGGGTTTTTAATTCTTATTGCAAAATTCTAAAAGCTATATGGGATTTCAAGAATATTTCCAAAATTTTGAAAGGTGGTTTAAAAGAGGAATATTATTCTCTTTACAAAAGTAGACCAACTAGGGTAGCTTTCGCCGACATCCACCTTTACTTTGTATGTGTGTGTGGGGTGTGGGGTGGGGTGGGGGGTGAAGGGGTGTTTCATAAATGTATCACGTTTATAAATAATTACGTTTAAATCAATCAATCAATCAATCAACAGAATAAAAGAAAATGTATAGAAATGTTCGAAAATACAAATTTAATTTGGGTTAATTTGCTATTGCATGGGAAACAATACTACAAGGTTAAATTTATCGGACACCCAAAGTAGTGCGGAGGAGATATTTTTTAAAAACTACAGACGGACATATGGACAATTAGACAGACCGAAATTAATATCCTCCACTTTCAGCGGGGAACAAAAAATCACCTTATCGCCTTTCCTTTTCAAGAATTCCTTATTAGGCTTTAAGATCGACCCACCAATCCCACCCCCACCATTAAAACACACACACACACATGCACCCTGCCACCTTCTCACAAAATGAAATTGCTTTTAACCCCCCCCCCCCCCCCCCCACACACACACAAGATAACAGGAAGAAAATGAATTTTTTCCTGTCTGCCTGATTATATTTTAAGTCCTGTATCATTTTATTGATTTGATGGTTTAGTCATAAATCATCTAGAGACCTATGTTAAGATATAATCGCTTAATTATCCCCTCCATTTTTTTTGTTTAGGTCTTTTTACTCTTTTACGTGTATACGATTATTAAGTGTTTTTTGTAGGTACAGGTGTACGGAAACCAGGTGTACTCAGTAGAATGTCAGGGGTCAGTGCCATTGCACTAGTACAGGGCGCAAGCCGCGGAATCGGACTTCAGTTCTGCAAAACCTTGTTGCTGCGCAACTCTGCAACAACAGTGGTAGCAACATGTCGAGACCCAAACTCATCAAGTGAGCTGGCTCAACTGAAGGGCAACAATGATCGCCTCCATATTTGCAAGTTGGATGTCACGAAGGAAAATGATATTTCGGACGTTTCTAAATATGTAACAGAAAAGTTTGGTAAATTAGATTTGCTTATCAACTGTGCAGGGATGTTGCATCCGAGCGGAAAAGGGGAGACAAGTCTTAAGAGTGTTGATGGACAGGTATAATTTACCATTTATTGTTTTGTTGCTTACAGATTGATATCTGCCTGCAATTAACATACTTTATAGTGTAATCCTCTCTTTTTTTTTCAGAGTCTATAAGAATATTTTTTTCAAAGAATCAAATTTTAAAGATCTGGGTCATATTAAAAGTGAACAGGTACAACAGAACAACGGACGAAACAATGGAGGCCTGGGTTATTATGTTCCCCAAACGGAGTTTGGGAACATATTGTTTTTACTCTGTTTCTTATTATTATTATGTTCCCCAAACGGAGTTTGGGAACATATTGTTTTTACTCGGTTTCTTATTAAGGTCTTCCGTCTTCACGGAAGACCTTATAGTTATTGCTCTGTTTCTTATTATTATTATTATTATTATTATTTTTCTGACACGATTTCTGGACAACTACTGGATAGAATTACATGAAATTTTCAGGAAAGATGTGTTGTAAGATACTCTTGAAAATTCCAAGACAGTTTTTGGAAATTCCTCTCTGGTGCCAAGTTTTGGACCATTTTCCTGATTTTAAAATGACATTTTGTCTACGATTAAACTCAAAAACGGTAAAAGATATCAATGTGAAACTTTCAGAGTTTATAGATGATGATCAATACTTTCCAGGACGCAACTTTTCGTTCGTCGTCAGTACTTCCTGTCGCTACCGGAAGCCAATTCAAAAAGTCCAAATTTTCAACTTTCTTTGTTTTTCAATATTTTTCATTTATTTTTGGAATATTAATAGAGACACTTCTATTGATGCTTACTATATAAGTTGTTTTAATATTGGTTAATCTGAACTCTAGATATTAATATTTGAAAATCTGAAGCGGGCCCAAGATGGCGGCTGTCTCTGTCAACTCCGACATTTCGCGAGTAGGGGCTTATGGAGGCAGCTGAGCGTTTGATTAAACCATTCTGACATAAGGATACATGAAATGCAAAAAACTACTTGGACTCTCACGTAGTAGAATGTTGCAATTCAGTGTCAATCTTAAAAAAACTTAATTTACGTCTCACTGCTTTAGTGTTACTGGGCTAGATACGATATGTAATGTGTACAATGTGTTAAATATACTTTCCTAATGCCGAAATAAAATAAAAGTGATAAGAATGTTTTATTTAATTAATTTCATTGAAGCTATTGCACCTCTTTAATAAATCAGTACAAAGAAAAGGTGCGAATATTTATGCGTGGCGTTTGACACGAAATTATGAATAGTGTCCCGACTTTTATGATTCTTAGACAGGTGTACTGTTGCAAAAGTATACACAAGTATATTTAAAGCAGTATTCCCAATAGCTAAATGGTTCGCGCGTTGGGGAGAAAAGAGAAAAAAATGCGCATTCACGTTGGCGACCTGGATTCTCTCCTCCTTGTGATCAAAATTTGAATCACTTTTTAGTTCGATTTTACAAGTTTTTTTTTCCTGAATCTGACGGAAGACCTCTCGTTGCTCGCAACGGGTTTCGTTTGTAGTTATTATTAAGGTCTTCCGTCTTCACGGAAGACCTTATAGTGATTCTATTGTTAGGTCACCTGAGTAAACTCAGGTGACCTATTGCTATCCGTTTTCGTCCGTCGTCGTGCGTCGTGCGTCGTGCGTCGTGCGTTGTGCGTTAACATTTGAACATTTTCAGCTTCTTCTCTGCAACCACTGAACCAATTTCAACCAAATTTGGCACAAAGCATCTATGGGTGAAGGGGAACAAAAATTGTGAATTTCATGATCCCTGCCCCCCAGGGGCCTGAGGGGTGGGGCCAAAACCACTAAAATTAATGCAATCTTTAAAAATCTTCTTCTTTACTCCTGGGCATCAAGCAGTCAAACTGTTTGCATGAATGTAATCAGCAATGAGTCCTCTACCAAAATTGTGAAATTCATGGCCCTGGGGTCAGGGGTTCTAGTGCTAGGGCGGGGCTAAATAAGTAGGTAGTGAAAATGCATTATTTCTTTGAAAATCTTCTTCTCTGCTCCTGGGTATTAAATAAACTAACTAAGTACATAGTTATGATGAGCAAGAGTGCCTCTACCAAAATTGTGAATTTTATGGCCCCAGGGTCAGGGGTTCTGGTGTTAGGGTGGGGCTCTATTGATTATATAGTGAAAATACATGAATTCTTTGGAAATCTTCTTCTCTGCTCCTGGGTATTAAATAAACTAACTAAGTATATAATTATGATGAGCAAGAGTGCCTCTACCAAAATTGTGAATTTTATGGCCCCAGGGTCAGGGGTTCTGGTGTTAGGGTGGGGCTCTATTGATTATATAGTGAAAATACATGAATTCTTTGAAAATCTTCTTCTCTGCTCCTGGGTATTAAATAAACTAACTAAGTGCCTAGTTATGGTGAGCAAGAGTGCCATAACCAAAATTGTGAATTTTATGGCCCCAGGATTAGGGGTTCTGGTATTAGGGGGGGGGGCTCTATTGATTATATAGTGAAAATACATTAATTCTTTGAAAATCTTCTCTGCTCCTGGGTATTAAATAAACTAAGTGCATAGTTATGATGAGCAAGAGTACCTCTACCAAAATTGTGAATTTTATGGCCCCAGGGTCAGGGGTTCTAGTGCTAGGGGGGGGGGGGGCTCGATAGATTATGTAGTTAAAATACATGAATTCAAAATCTTCTTCTGTGCTCCTGGGTATTAAATAAACTAACTAAGTGCATAGTTATGATGAACAAGAGTGCCTCAACCAAAATTGTGAATTTTATGGCCCCAGGGTCAGGGGTTCTGGTGTTAGGGTGGGGCTCTATTGATTATATAGTGAAAATACAGGAATTCTTTGAAAATCTTCTTCATTGC